GTTTGTGTACCAAACCTTTAGTTTCTTTTCTATCATTGTGGTCATGCAAGAATATTGGGGTTGGGGGAGCGAGAGCCTTGGTGGGGGCCTATATGGGGCTGTGGTGTAGGTGGGGTTTGTGTTGATGGGGGTGGGGTCAGAATGCCCATAAGGGACAGCTGTTGGGGTGAGGTTTGTGATATGGGGGTTGGTGGCAGAGGGAACAGTGAGTGGGTTGTAGTATAGGTTGCTCAGTTGCGTTGGAATGTCGCGGGTGGAGTTCTTTTGGTGGGAGATTCTGTGGGGTGTGTTTTGCCCTTCCTCCTGTGTCTGGGTCTGCTCATTTTCATTGCTTCTCGTTCCTCCTTGCGTCTCTGTACCCTCTCTTTCAGTGTAGTCCTTTCTTCTTGTGTTCTGTCGCGGTCGAGGTATACTCTGGTACCCCTCTTTGTCCCTCAGTCTTGCTTTCTCTTGCAGAATCCTGGTTCGAACTGATTCTTCCTTGAAAGTTACTCTGACAGGCCGTATCCTTCCACTCGCAAACCACCCTATTCTCTGAAAATTTGTCACCTGGGTCATATTGCCCTCCCCTATTGTTTTCATGATGCCTTCAATCATTTATTCTCCTCCTGTTTTATTTCTTCAAAGTTGGCCCCCTTGGCTTCTTGGAGCCCGTACACAAAAACTGACCTCGCCCTTTCCTCCTCCCACTGAGTCTCCATCTGCATCCTCTGAGGCATTTCATTTCTTTCCATTGATATGTTCTTGCCTTCAGTCCCTGTCATATCTGAAACTTCTATTCTCAGTGAACTGTCTTTCCTGACCAGCTGTCCCTTGCTACTGCAGTTGGCTGTTAGAATCTCTGCATATAGCATACCTTCATTGTCTTCGGACCTGTCGTCTGATCTTAGTGTGCTCATCGTCTTTTCCCTGGCCCCACGTGGGTCTGATAGGGCCTTCGTGTATGGCATGTCTCCGTTGTTGCTTACCATCCCCTTGTCTGCGCCTGACTTTGAATTTCCTGATGTCACATCTGAATTGTCATTTGTCTCTCTAATCTGTTTCAGGCTTTGCAGTTTCTCTTCTAAGCACTGTATCCTAGCTTCTGCTGCTAAGACCTGTACTTCCCACTTCCTGCACTCTTCAGCAATCTGCTCCTCCATTTTCTTACCAAGCTTACTATCTTCCTTCCCCACTCTTCCTCCCTTTTTTGGAGCTCTAACTCCAGTCTTTCTCCCTGGTCGTCTTCCAGATCTCTGGTTTTCCGTCCTCTAAGGCACCCATTTTTTTTTTTTTTTTTTTTTTTTTTTTTTTTTTTTTTTTTTTTTTTTTTTTTTTTTTACCACAGACAGAAGGCTAGAGGAGAGGGAGAGGGTGTGGGGGTGAGGAGAGAGAAAGGGTAGAAAGAGGTGAGGATGGGTGAGGAAAGGTAGAATAGGGGAGAGAGAGGAGGGAGAGATGGGAGAGGGGATAAGACAAGGGGAGAGAGGAGAATGTGAGGGGCTTAGAGAAGGGTATGAAGATGAATATGGGAGTGGAGAGAGAGTGAGAGAGAGAGGAAGGGAGATGGGGGCCGAGGGAATGGCTATGAGAGAGAGACAATGAGAGATGGAGAGAGAGTTGAGAAAAGGAAGAGAGTGGTAGAGGAGGGAGAGAGAGAGGAGAGGAGGGAGAGAGGAGGAGAGGGAGGAGAGAGAGAGAGAGGAGGAAGGAGGGAGAGAGAGAGAGGAGAGAGGGGGGAGAAGGGGAGAGAGGGAGAGGAGAGAGGAGAGAGGGAGAGAGAGAGGGAGAGAGAGGGAGAGAGAGAGGAGAGGAGAGGAGAGGGAGGGAAGAGAGAGGGAGAGAGGAGAGAGAGGAGAGAGAGAGGAGGAGAGAGGGAGAGGGGAGGGAGGGGAGAGAGAGAGGGAGAGGAAGAGGGAGAGAGAGAGGGAGAGAGAGAGAGGGAGAGAGAGAGGGAGAGAGAGAGGGAGAGAGAGAGGGAGAGAGGAGGGAGAGAGGAGAGGGAGAGAGAGAGTGGAGAGAGGGAGAGAGGGAGAGAGAGAGGGAGAGAGGGAGAGAGAGAGAGGGAGAGAGAGGAGGAGAGAGAGAAGAGGGGAGAGAGAGGAGAGAGAGGGGAGAGGAGGGAGAGAGAGAGGGAGAGAGAGGAGAGAGAGAGAGAGAGAGGGAGAGAGAGGGAGGAGAAGAGGGGGGAGGAGAGAGGGAGAGAGAGGAGGAGAGAGAGATAGGGAGAGAGAGGGAGAGAGAGAGGGGAGAGGAGAGAGGGAGAGAGAGAGGGAGAGAGAGAGGGAGAGAGAGAGAGAGGAGAGAGGGAGAGAGAGAGAGGGAGAGAGAGGGGAGAGAGAGGAGAGAGGGGAGAGAGAGGGGAGAGAGAGATGGAGGGAGAGAGAGGCAAATGTAGTCCTGTTCACAAAAAGAAGAGCAGAGCAGAAAATCAGCAACTACAGACCAGTGTCACTCCTGTCAATCACTGGTAAGATCCTTGAGACATAATCTCAAGACAAATGACAGATTTTTTTGACTACCACTCACTACTTTGTGATCGTCAATATGGCTTCAGGAAAGGTTACTCTGCTGCTGATCTGTTGTTTAAACCTCTCCACTAAGTGGCACCAGTCACTGGATGAATCCAAAGTCAGCTGTGTGGTAGCACTGGACATTGCTGGCGCTTTCGACCGGGTGTGGCACCGGGCCTCTTAGCAAAACTTCAAGCACTGGGAATTGCAGGCTCTACGCTATGTCTCCTCAGTGATTACCTTCATGGTAGATCTCTAAGTGTAGTCCTCAATGGAACGGAATCAGCAAGACATCCTATTGGGGCAAGCGTTCCACAAGGAAGTGTGCTGGGTCCACTGTTATGGAATGTCTACTTCAACGACCTTCTTCATCTCATCCCAGAATCACATGCATATGCAGACGACTGTACACTGACATTCACTTATCCAAGAGAAGAAATGCCAGCTGCTCTAAGCTACATCAATCACCAGCTGAGAGCTATATCAGCTTGGGGAAATAGATGGCAAGTAACATTTGCACCTGAGAAAACGCAAATGATGATCGTCTCTAGGCACCATGATGGTAATGCTGGTGCAGTAGTAAGGATGAATGGGAGGATGTTGGCACCTGGAGAAGAAGTTGATATCCTTGGGGTGAAATTTGACTCCAAACTAACCATGAAGAAACCATGTTGTAAATCTTGCAAACAAGGCAGCCAGGAAGCTTACAGCACTTCGCCGTATCTCGCATCTGCTTGACAGTAGGGGTTGCAAGATACTGTACGAGGCACAAGTACGCTCACACCTTGAGTATGCTCCACTTTCTTGGTTTGCCTGTCCCCCCTCTCATCTGCGACTGCTTGACAGAGTAGAGAACAGAGCAAGACGTCTCATCTCTCGCCTGGACCCATCCTGGATGGATCTGTCATTTCAGCAGAGCCTTCAACATAGGAGGGATGTGGGTGGCCTTACTGTTATGTACAAGGCCAATATTGTCAAAATTACCACACTTGGATCCACTTCGAGGACAGCGCGAAACAAGCTTTTATGCCACAAGACGGGCAGAAAGCAGCAACTTCACTCTGGCTGTACCCTTCTCCAGAACATCACTCCATCTGAGATCATACATACCCAGGATGACTCGAGTATGGAACACATTCGTTCAGCATAATGATGTCAACGAGATAACGTCAGTTGATCAAATGAAAATGCTGGCCCACAGATGGCTCCAACTTCATCCTGTTCCCTACTTGTATGTCTCATAACAATAAAAATGCTTTCAAATGAGCTGATGTAGGTAACAGCTCTTAGCTTGTCAATAAAGTTAGGAATCCTTAACCTGTAAATAGCTTGTCAATAAAGCTAGGATCCTTAACCTTGTCAAACCATGTGTAAAAAAAAAAAAAAAAAAAAAAAAAAAAAAAAAAAAAAAAGAGGGAGAGAGAGAGGGAGAGAGAGAGAGGGAGAGAGAGAGGGGAGAGAGGGAGAGAGGGAGAGAGAGAGGGAGAGAGAGAGAGAGAGAGAGAGAGAGAGAGAGGGAGAGAAGGAGGGAGAGAGAGGGAGAGAGAGAGGGAGAGAAGGAGGGAGAGAGAGAGGGAGAGAGAGAGGGAGAGAGAGAGGGAGAGAGAGAGGGAGAGAGAGAGGGAGGAGGGGAGAGAGAGAGGGAGAGAGGGAGAGAGATAGGGAGAGAGAGGGAGAAAGAGAGGGAGAGAGAGAGGGAGAGAGAGAGGGAGAGAGAGAGGGAGAGAGAGAGGGAGAGAGAGAGGGAGAGAGAGAGGGAGAGAGAGAGGGAGAGAGAGAGGGGAGAGAGGGAGAGAGAGAGAGAGAGAGAGAGAGAGAGAGAGAGAGAGAGAGAGAGAGAGAGAGAGAGAGAGAGAGAGAGAGAGAGAGTGTGTGTGTGTGTGTGTGTGTGTGTGTGTGTGTGTGTGTGTGTGTGTGTGTGTGTGTGTGTGTGTGTGTGTGTGTGTGTGTGTTGTGGCGCGCGAATAACTCAAGATTCAACACTATTTTCGCTCTTGCTGGAGACGTCGTCGCGATTCAGAGGTTCATATGAACTGCGATGTTCGCGCACTTCAGGCAAGACTCGCTTGTAATGAATTAATTTGCCAAGTTACTAAACTCACTCATTCACTCTTAAGTAAGGTGCCTAGCAAATAACGCACTCCTCTTCTCTTACATAACAAATCACATAAGTAACGTAATCATTTACTTCAGTACTTTATCTCGTAGTCATGTAAATAACACGTGATTCAACGAGAAAATATCAAAATGATATTTTAACTGATTCAGAATCTTTATTTAACATTACTTTATGCATATATTATTATCTCATGATAACACTCGCTTTCATATTAGTGTAGAGTATATTTCAACTAAGGTTTAACGAACGTTTACCGTCCATACAAGAAAATATTGAGCAGTGACGTAGAGAACTGGTTCGTGAAGCGTTGTTTGAGACGATGTCTCGGGGTGACGACTCGAATCTCCTAATTGCTATTGAGACATTCTCCAGACTGTCTTTTCTTTTCTTTCGATCGTCTATTGTACTTTACCGGATTTATATTGTTTTCACTAAGTTTACTAACAGCTGTCAGTGGACTCGTCCTGGGGTGTGTCTCGCAACTTTAATTACACTTGCTCCCATTTACCTGTTACTTCTGCATATCTTATTGTCATTTCTTCGTACGACCCGCAGGTGGACATTGCGAAGAGAAAACGAGGAGAAAGAGACAACAAGAAGAGGGTAATTTACGCACGGGTGAAGCTAGTGGTTACTGACTACACGATAAGCCAGGCGACATAAATGCAGTAGGTGGAAACTAAGTATTTGTTTATTGTTGATGGATATGATGACTGAGGAGTTGCCAGCGCATTTTTATGGTAACAACAGCGCTCTGTCACCCATTTGGCTCTAACGCTTGATTTTTAATATAAAAATAGTTACGGTAACTTAGACTGGATGAGGTGCATGCGAGTTCTAGTAACGAGGACGAGGAGAAAAGGCACACCTCGTTTTCCCCTTATTAGTTATTATATTTTTAAGGAAGAGTTAAATTTGTCGGGTACATAAGTTATTTTTGATTACTCGTTTATTGTATATGAGAGGTATCCGTAATATCTAGTGCAGTGTACACGTGAATTGCATCTAATGACTCGTGCAATGTACACACAAATTGTTTAATGATTCGTGCAGCGTACACATGAATTGTATGTTTAAGATCGTGCACTGTAAAAAATTTGTACTTTTTAATGAACGGCTTGTGCAATGAATTGTTCTTTAATGACTAGTGCAGTATAGCAAAAATTGTATTTTAGTGGTGTGTTATGGACATGAATTGTATCCTTAACCGTATTTTAGGGGGGGGGAGAAGTACTCCCCTGTTGAGCTTTTTTAACCCCGCCTCAACGATGTATTTTGGGGGTTTAATCGTCTTCTATATGAGGGGCAATGAGGATGCAGCTTACCCTGCGTGAGATCCTTCAGGAGTGAGGGGAAAGGGGGGGGGGGCATCTTATAAGGGGAGGGCTATTGATCAACGATTGTAAAATTTCCTCTTCCCAGTTTCACGATTGAAATAGAAATAAAGGTGAACTTTTTATTATTACTGGGCAAAGGGTTGGGCTTGTTAAATTTAATTTAAAGCTATGACTCTAAAGGGGGCTTTTTGGGGGTGAGTCCCCGCTCACCCCCAATGATATACTTTGGGTACAGTTCTAGCCCCTCCTTGTAGCCCAACAAGAACTGTTACTTGGTGGGGGTGTGGGGGTAGGGTGGAAGATTCTGACATAACCCCCTCTCTCTCCGAAAAGGGGGGGGGTTATGATAAGGATGATAGAGATGAATGATGATTAGTTGATTGATTTCCTGGGACAAGTACGGGCGTAAGTGGCTCGTATAGTAGACAGGTATGATGAACGTAGTGCCGGTGAGCCTCCACGATGGTGATGATAGTGAGAGGCTCTGGAACACAGGCGTTCGATCTAAACTGTTTGCCCGGTGTTGCTTCCTCTTTGCAGCGTATGGAACGAAAGCTTTACATTAATTAAATAACGTTATCTCTCTTCGTTGTTTAATTAATGATGGTTGGTAACTCGCACATTTAACCTAAGAATAATGTAGAGTAACCAGACATAATATAAAATGAAAACACTGAGGACATTGTGCTTTTCTCGACCTCTAGTTGAGGCCCTCTTCAGATAATTAATACTTGCTTAAATCGTTCAGAAACAGACGCACGTTAACTCGTTAGAAAAGGGACGGCATATTTTGAGGAGGAATCAACAGGAGATGTACCCAACTCTCACTCCCGCGGGAGTAAGCCACGCTGGGGAAGGGCTTTTGATCCGAGAACTTGTAGCTACTCTCCCCATTTATCTAACCTGACTGGTGTAGCGCTACCCTTTGATAATAATAATACTGAATTAATAAAAATAAAAATAATAATTATTAAAAGTAATTTAAATAATTAAAAATAATTTACTAATAATGTAACAATGTCGAATTAATAATGACAAAACAACTAATACTATATTAATAATGATATAATGATACTATGAATAACTATGAAGCCACGCCTACTTTTGTTATCTAAGAGGGACGAAATGTTAAATTTATAGGCCTAGCTTGTGGTGTCGCTTTATGATCTTAATGGGTTTAGCGCTTGCTTTTGATTGTTATAATGATAATAGGTTGTGGTGAGTGATGGTGTACACCTTGGTGTGTTGCAAGGCTGAGTGGTAATACAACCTGTTGTACCTGGGTACCACCTGTGTACACCCTCCTCAGTGTACACTAGCACGCAGGTACCACCTGTGTACAACCTCCCCCAGGTTACACTAGCACGCAGGTACCACCTGTGTACCCCTCCTCAGTGTTTCACTAGCCGCAGGTACCACCTGTGTACACCCTCCTCAGTGTACACTAGCACGCAGGTACCACCTGTGTACACCCTCCTCAGTGTACACTAGCACGCAGTTACCACCTGTGTACACCCTCCTCAGTGTACACTAGCACGCAGTTACCACCTGTGTAAAACCCTCTCAGTGTACACTAGCACGCAGTTACCACCTGTGTAAAACCCCCCTCAGTGTACACTAGCACGCAGTTACCACCTGTGTGTACACCCCCCCAGTGTACACTACACGCGTTACCACCCGTGTGTACCCCTCCTCAGTTTTACACTTAAAACGCAGTTACCACTGTGTGTACACCCTCCTCAGTGTACACTAGCACGCAGTTACCAACCCGTGTGTACACCCTCCTCGGTGTACACTAGCACCCCAGTACACCTGTGTGTACCCCTCCTCAGTGTACACTAGCACGCAGTTACACCTGTGTGTACACCCTCTCGGTGTACACTAGCACGCAGTTACCACTGTGTGTACACCCTCCTCAGTGTACACTAACACGCAGTTACCTCCTGTGTGTACACCCTCCCCGTGTACACTAACACGCAGTTACCCTGTGTGTACACCCTCCTCAGTGTACACTAGCACGCAGTTACCCTGTGTGTACACCTCAGTGTACACTAGCACGCAGTTACCACCTGTGTGTACACCCCCCTCAGTGTACACTAGCACGCAGTTACCACCTGTGTGTACACCCTCCTCAGTGTACACTAGCACGCAGTTACCACCTGTGTGTACACCCTCCTCAGTGTACACTAGCACGCAGTTACCACCTGTGTGTACACCCTCCTCAGTGTACACTAGCACGCAGTTACCACCTGTGTGTACACCCTCCTCGGTGTACACTAACACGCAGTTACCACCTGTGTGTACACCCTCCTCAGTGTACACTAGCACGCAGTTACCACCTGTGTGTACACCCTCCTCAGTGTACACTAGCACGCAGTTACCACCTGCGTGTACACCCTCCTCAGTGTACACTAGCACGCAGTTACCACCCGTGTGTACACCCTCCTCGGTGTACACTAGCACGCAGTTACCACCTGTGTGTACACCCTCCTCAGTGTACACTAGCACGCAGTTACCACCTGCGTGTACAAAGGGAAGAAGGATCATCACGTGCCTCTCACATTGACAAATCAAAAAACCCTATTTCCCAGACAACTTTCTCTCTACTTCCTTCACACAGTAACATTCGTGACGCGGATTTCCACGTTACTTCCCAAACTTTTACAGAAGTTGTCTTTTCCTGGGAAGCTTTTATTAATATTTTTTTTTTCTTTTCCATGTGGGGGAAGGCGTAGAATATATATATATATTTTTCAAAGTATTTCTTTTTTTATATTTCGTGTTCTCGACTTGTGTGTTCCATCAGACTTGTCTCAGACTTGTCTCAGACTTGGTTAAAAATCGAACAGTGTTATTAACTGTTGTGTGTTAATTTAACATGTATCCTGACTGCAGTTTCGCACATTCACAGGTTAGACGTTTCTGCTGCACCAGAAACTTAAGAATGGTGAAAAGGCAAGAAAACGGGGAAAACAGCAGGAAGAAGAATCAAGAAAGGGAAGAGAAGAAATAAGAAAAGGATGTTTTCATTTTTTCCTGGAAATTAAGTTTTCTGCCTACCACGAGGTAAGGATTTTGTCTTTAGCTCAGTTGCATTGATGAAGAAGCGCTAAATCCGTAAGTGTCTTGCACCTTCATGGTGAATGGGAGGCACTAAAATATTTTAATACCGGGGTATTACGATTTCTAGCACCCTTGTATTAAGATTTTAATACCCCTGGTATTAGCAATTTTATTACCCCTGGTAATAGCAGTTTTATTACCCCTGGTATTAGGAGTTTTATTACCCCTGGTATTAGCAGTTTTATTACCCCTGGTATTAGCAGTTTTATTACCCCTGGTATTAGCAGTTTTAATACCACTGGTATTAGGAGTTTTAATACCACTGGTATTAGGAGTTTTAATACCCCTGGTATTGGGAGATTTAATACCCCTGGTATTAGGAGTTTTAATACCCCTGGTATTAGCAGTTTTATTACCCCTGGTATTAGGAGTTTTAATACCCCTGGTAATAGATTTATTACCCCTTGTAATAGCAGTTTTATTACCCCTGGTATTAGGAGTTTTAATACCCCTGGTATTAGGAGTTTTAATACCCCTGGTATTAGGAGTTTTTAAAACCCCTGGTATTAGGAGTTTTAATACCCTGGTATTAGTAGTTTTAATACCCTGGTATTAGGAGTTTTAATACCCTGGTATTAGGAGTTTTAATACCCCTGGTATTAGGAGTTTTAATACCCCTGGTATTAGGAGTTTTAATACCCCTGGTATTAGGAGTTTTAATACCCCTGGTATTAGGAGTTTTAGTGCCCCTGGTATTAGGAGTTTTAGTGCCCCTGGTATTAGGAGTTTTAATGCCCCTGGCATTATGAGTTTTAACGCCCCTGGCATTATGAGTTTTAACGCCCCTGGCATTATGAGTTTTAACGCCCCTGGCATTATGAGTTTTAACGCCCCTGGCATTATGAGTTTTAACGCCCTGGCATTATGAGTTTTAACGCCCCTGGCATTATGAGTTTTAACGCCCCTGGCATTATGAGTTTTAATACCCCTGGCATTATGAGTTTTAATACCCCTGGTATTAGCAGTTTTAATGCCCCTGGTATTAGCAGTTTTAATGCTCCTGGTTCTAGCAGTTTTAATACCCCTGGTAAAAGGAGTTTTAATACCCCTGGTATTAAAAATACCTGAAATTGAGCAGCCAATTAAATAGGGATCTTTAAAGCAGTCTCGTGGAAATCAGTGTTAATAATAGTATATGCAATTTTGAGCACAGTAATACTTGACCAGAGCTTAATATTTGTAGCCGACGAGATGAGACGTTCTGAAATTTAAAACTAAAATCTTAGATGGTGTGAGGAAACTGTAGCTGACAGATGGATGGCTCTGTTCCTAGAATCTGGTCCTTGTTGCCGTACACGAGCGTTCGAAATTTGAATCCGGTATGATGAGGGGTTCTCGAGTTGTGAGCGAAAGAAAATTTGAAAAATTTGGAAGACAAATGGGAAATGTATTCAGGGACACATTTTAAGTTGTGTTCACCTAAAAAATATTCCAAGGTAAGATTTTATCACTTTTTCTGAAATCCGTTGCTAATGAAGGCTGCTCTTGATCCAAGGAAATTGAACTACTACCCTAGACTCTGACCTGGTTTACCCCTCTCCCCTCCACCTCATTCTCCAGACACTATGATCCCCTACGGGTTTAGCTCTTCCCATTGGACACAACCATCGCCCTCGCCTGCAGAGTCCTACAGCGTCTGGGGTACCATGGATGATATGGTTTGACCCAGGACGACTAACTCTAGCCCCTTGGATCAAGAGCCCTTCATCAGCATCATTAGCCTACCATTAAAGCCCTGGTGGTTCGTAGATTCATTAAGATACGGGGAAATTTATGTATTCTAATACTGCCAGGCATTTTATAATTACATCAGTCATTGCTTAATTAGGCTAGTTGTTAATTTTAAATTTTTAGCTAATTAAGCTAATTAATTTTTAATTAGTTTAAATTATTCATTTTTAATTGGGATAGCTTATTCATTTTTAGGCTAAATTATTCATTTTTAGGCTAGAATTATTCATTTTTAGGCTAGATTATTCATTTTTAGGCTTATTCTTTTTTATGTAGGTTAGATTATTCATTTTTAAGTACGTTAGATTCATTTTTTAAAATTAAACTAGATTATTAAATTTTAATTTTATTATTCATTGTTAATTAGGCTAGATTATTAGCTGTGCTTAATTCAACACTTTATTTACAACTGTCTCATTTCGGACCATCTGGCTTCTTTATATAAAGGCGATGTTAATATTTTATGCATTTGTTTAATGCATTTGTGTGGGGGTAACCTAGTCTGTATCAGTTACTAGATTATTAGTTGCATAGTCTGACAAAATTATTAGTTTTGTCATTATTTTTGATATATAAAATTATTTTTATATTAAATATTATTTCATTTTATAAGCCATTATTATTAATTTTTTAAAGTTCATATTCTAAGCTGGATTATTGAACAAAACTGATTATTCGTATAAGATTATTCGTTATATACTCACTGCAACCTAGATTCTTCATTTTATATAGGCTGTTCATAATGCAATACGCTGGCTTATCCATTTTTGCATAATAAGCTAGATAATTAGTTTAATTGAGCTAGGCTGTGTGGTATTTACTAGGCTAATTCTCTGCCAGTTGAGCCATGAAGTTGCTTGAAATGATTCCAGCACGGAAATGCTTTCTTAAAATTATTAGTTATTTGCATAATTTGTTTTGTGTGTTGGCCTGAGAGGCAGAGGCAACGGAAGTGCGGTTTTTTTTTTTTTAGTCTGTGCCTCTACGAGCAACAGAAGAGTTTGTTGGCCTGAGAGGCACAGGCAACGGAATTTGTTGAGAGGTTTGGAGCAACAATAGTGTGTGTGTTTGCGCGCGTGTGTGTTTGCGCGCGTGTGTGTTTGCGCGCGTGTGTGTTTGCGCGCGTGTGTGTTTGCGCGCGTGTGTGTTTGCGCGCGTGTGTGTTTGCGCGTGTGTTTGCGCGTGTGTTTGCGCGTGTGTTTGCGCGTGTGTTTGCGCGTGTGTGTGTTTGCGCGTGTGTGTGTTTGCGCGTGTGTGTGTTTGCGCGCGTGTGTGTTTGCGCGTGTGTGTTTGCGCGTGTGTGTTTGCGCGTGTGTTTGCGCGTGTGTTTGCGCGTGTGTGTGTTTGCGCGTGTGTGTGTTTGCGCGCGCGTGTGTTTGCGCGTGTGTTTGCGCGTGTGTGTGTTTGCGCGTGTGTGCGCGCGCGCGCGTGTGTGTGTGTGTGCGCGCGCGTGTGTGTGTGTTTGCGCGTGTGTTTGCGCGCGCGTGTGTTTGCGCGCGTGTGTGTTTGCGCGTGTGTTTGCGCGCGCGTGTGTGTGTGTGTGTGTGTGTTGTGTGTGTGTGGTGTTGTGTGTGGTGGTGGCGCGCGCGCGCGCGCGTGTGTACTCGCCTAGTTGTAGTCACCTAGTTGAGGTTGCGGGGGTCGAGTCCGAGCTCCTGGCCCCGCCTTTCACTGATCGCTACTAGGTCACTTCCCTGAGCGTGAGCTTTATCATACCTCTGCTTAAAGCTATGTATGGATCCTGCCTCCACTACATCACTTCCCAAACTATTCCATTTACTGACTACTCTGTGGCTGAAGAAATACTTCCTAACATCCCTGTGATTCATCTGTGTCTTCAGCTTCCAACTGTGTCCCTTGTTACTGTGTCCAATCTCTGGAACATCTGTCTTTGTCCACCTTGTCAATTCCTCTCAGTATTTTGTATGTCGTTATCATGTCCCCCCTATCTCTCCTGTCCTCCAGTGTCGTCAGGTTGATTTCCCTTAACCTCTCCTCGTAGGACATACCTCTTAGCTCTGGGACTAGTCTTGTTGCAACCTTTGCACTTTCTCTAGTTTCTTCACGTGCTTGGCTAGGTGTGGGTTCCAAACTGGTGCCGCATACTCCAATATGGGCCTAATATACACGGTGTACAGGGTCCTGAACGATTCCTTATTAAGATGTCGGAATGCTGTTCTGAGGTTTTGCCAGGCGCACATATGCGCAGCAGTTATATTGGTTGATGTGCGCTTCAGGAGATGTGCCTGGTGTTATACTCACCCCAAGATCTTTTTCCTTGAGTGAGGTTTGTAGTCTCTGGCCCCCTAGACTGTACTCCGTCTGCGGTCTTCTTTGCCCTTCCCCAATCTTCATGACTTTGCACTTGGTGGGATTGAACTCCAGGAGCCAATTGCTGGACCAGGTCTGCAGCCTGTCCAGATCCCTTTGTAGTTCTGCCTGGTCTTCGATCGAGTGAATTCTTCTCATCAACTTCACGTCATCTGCAAACAGTGACACCTCGGAGTTTATTCCTTCCGTCATGAAAGTTAAGACACATGTGCAACATCTGGATATCTTTATTGTAGACGTTTCGCCATCCAGTGGCTTTATCAATACAGATTCTAGGACATAATAGGAAGACAATAGAACTATATACAAAAGATGAGGTAATCAGTCCCTCGGCCATGGAGTTAGTGTTCACAGCATCGTGGTGGAGGAGAATCTGGAGCAAAGGCAAGAAGACTGGCGTTTATATAAGCGTCAGTGGAAGGGACGGGCAGCAGACGAGGGCAGTCACTGGTAGGCGGGATTCCCCAGTGGAAGTAGGTACTTCCCAAAGAGATGGGTTAGTTGCAGCAGCCGTGAAGAAGGTCTTGTAGATGTCCTCTGAACCAAGATTCCATGATGTTGCAGTGTCTGACAAGTTGTGCAAGAAAGGTATAAAATACCGACAATATGAAAGTTAAGACACATGTGCAACATCTGGATATCTTTATTGTAGACGTTTCGCCATCCAGTGGCTTTATCAATACAGATTCTAGGACATAATAGGAAGACAATAGAACTATATACAAAAGATGAGGTAATCAGTCCCTCGGCCATGGAGTTAGTGTTCACAGCATCGTGGTGGAGGAGAATCTGGAGCAAAGGCAAGAAGACTGGCGTTTATATAAGCGTCAGTGGAAGGGACGGGCAGCAGACGAGGGCAGTCACTGGTAGGCGGGATTCCCCAGTGGAAGTAGGTACTTCCCAAAGAGATGGGTTAGTTGGGAAGTACCTACTTCCACTGGGGAATCCCACCTACCAGTGACTGCCCTCGTCTGCTGCCCGTCCCTTCCACTGACGCTTATATAAACGCCAGTCTTCTTGCCTTTGTTCCAGATTCTCCTCCACCACGATGCTGTGAACACTAACTCCATGGCCGAGGGACTGATTACCTCATCTTTTGTATATAGTTCTATTGTCTTCCTATTATGTCCTAGAATCTGTATTGATAAAGCCACTGGATGGCGAAACGTCTACAATAAAGATATCCAGATGTTGCACATGTGTCTTAACTTTCATATTGTCGGTATTTTATACCTTTCTTGCACAACTTGTCAGACACTGCAACATCATGGAATCTTGGTTCAGGGACATCTACAAGACCTCTTCACGGCTGCTGCAACTAACCCATCTCTTTGGGAAGTACCTACTTCCACTGGGGAATCCCGCCTACCAGTGACTGCCCTCGTCTGCTGCCCGTCCCTTCCACTGACGCTTATATAAACGCCAGTCTTCTTGCCTTTGCTCCAGATTCTCCTCCACCACGATGCTGTGAACACTAACTCCAAGGCCGAGGGACTGATTACCTCATCTTTTGTATATAGTTCTATTGTCTTCCTATTATGTCCTAGAATCTGTATTGATAAAGCCACTGGATGGCGAAACGTCTACAATAAAGATATCCAGATGTTGCACATGTGTCTTAACTTTCATATTGTCGGTATTTTATCCTTCCGTCATGTCGTTCACAAATACCAGAAACAGCACTGGTCCTAGGACTGACCCCTGCGGGACTCCGCTGGTCACAGGTGCCCACTCTGACACCTCGCCACGTACCATGACTCGCTGCTGTCTTCCTGACAAGTATTCCCTGATCCATTGTAGTGCCTTCCCTGTTATCCCTGCTTGGTCCTCCCGTTTTTCCACCAATCACTTGTGTGGAACTGTCAAACGCCTTCTTGCAGTCCAAGAAAATGCAATCCACCCACCCCTCTCTCTCTTGTCTTACTGCTGTCACCATGTCATAGAACTCCAGTAGGTTTGTGACACAGGATTTCCCGTCCCTGAAACCATGTTGGCTGCTGTTGATGAGATCGTTCCTTTCTAGGTGTTCCACCACTCTTCTCCTGATGTGTGGTTGTTTGCGCGTGTGTGTGTTTGCGCGCGTGTGTGTTTGCGCGCGTGTGTGTTTGCGCGTGTGTGTTTGCGCGTGTGTGTGTTTGCGCGTGTGTGTGTTTGCGCGTGTGTGTGTTTGCGCGTGTGTGTGTTTGCGCGTGTGTGTGTTTGCGCGTGTGTGTGTTTGCGCGTGTGTGTGTTTGCGCGTGTGTGTGTTTGCGCGTGTGTGTGTTTGCGCGTGTGTGTGTTTGCGCGTGTGTGTGTTTGCGCGTGTGTGTGTTTGCGCGTGTGTGTGTTTGCGCGTGTGTGTGTGCGCGCGCGTGTGTGTGTGCGCGCGCGTGTG